GCGCCCGCGGGACAACACCTCCTTTCATTGACTTTGTCATAAGGGAAATCCGTCCCAGTTCCCCTGCCCCCCCCTCGGGGCCCTTTTTGTGTGTCCCCAAAGTCACAATTCCCAACCGTTTGGGGCCCCTCCCCCTCCCCCCCCAGAAAGGCCAGCGTTTTGAGTTTGTTTCGGATCCCCCGGGTTCACTACACTGTGGGCCCTTCCTGGGAAAGCCCAAGGGCAAAAACCTTTTTCCCAGGCCGGGGTCGTTGTGGGGAGGGGGGCACCCTTTGGGACATGTTTCACCGGTGGGCCTGCCCCCCCCGGTTGGGAACAGAGGACTGGGCTGCTGGCAGCGGGGGGGGGGGGGGGGCCGCTCCTCACAGCCCCGCCCACCTCTGCACACCTGGAGACCCTCCCTCCTTCGGGAGCTGAGAAACCAAAGCTGCCCCCATCTGCCTTATGGTAGCGGGTGGAGGACTCGGTGGGCAGTCCCAGCTGTGTGCTCCCAGCTGTGGGCCAGCACGGAGAGGGGGGACCGGGGACTGGGGTGAGGTGTGGTCCAGCTGTCTGGGCAGTTCTGGTCTCTGCACATGTGACATCGGCTGCTTCCGGGATGTGGACCCTGTGCAGTGGGGGAGTGGACCTGGACTTGTGGTTACGAGGGAGGGGGCAGGGCTGGGAGCCAGGCAGAGTGAGGGGCTCAGGTATGAGAGGTGAGACAGGGCCCTGCCCAGCCCCTGCTCTTATAAATAAAGCTTTATTGGCACACGGCCCCGCACATTTGCTGACATTCTGCAAGTGACTGCTTTAATTTGAATGCATTCTCATTCTGGCTCGGCTGGGAGCCTTGTTAGAGGATGTGGCTTGGATGGGACGTGTGCGCAGGCCTCTGGTATTGTCCCCTCGCTGAGAGGCAGCCACATAACCTCTTCTCTGCCCCAGTGTCACCAGCTCCCTGGAGCCTAGGGCTTCACCCTCAGCCTCCCTCCCCGCCCCCGTCTGGGTCTGGTGGTGCCCTCCCTCACTGTCAGCCCTGCCCCCTACCCAGTGGCCAGGCATGCATATCTTTCTCTCCTCCTCCGCCCCCCCCCCCCAGTGTCCCCAGCCCAGGCCCAGGCCCAGGGGGACACAGCGGGAGCAGGGGTGGGGGGAAGACACATGGTTCACTGACAGGGCCTGCACCTGCGTTGGTCACCAGGTGCCTGGCACTCGGTGCACTGGCCGTGAGGGCTTGCTCAGAGCCTGGCAGGGTTGCAGGGGCTGGGGCTGCCCCTGGTTACCCCGCCTCTGTGTTGGGATTCCCCGGGACCATGGCAGAGCTTGACCCAGTGCCCGAGGCTTGTGCTGTGTCCCAGGACCCCTCCCTCCGCAGTCTGGCTCAGGGCGGCTGCAGGCTCTCCCAGGCTCCTGCACAGTGGGTGGCCACCTTCTCTCTCCCAGGTGTACCCCATTGTGGACTTCCCCCTGCCGGAGATTGCGCGGGCCTCCCAGAGGGGCATCGCAGAACACAGTGCCGCCCTGGGCTCCCGGGCACGCATCCTGAAGCAGGTGCGGAGGGCCTGGGCGGGGGGCTTCAGGGACTGAGCCTGGGGGAGAATGGCCTGGGCTTTTGGGAGGGAGGCTCCAGGCTGGGCTGGGCCTGTCCAGGCATCTGGGGCCTCCTTCCTGAGAAAGAGGGGAGGAGAGAGCGGCCAGCAGGAGGGGCGCACGGTGCTGGAAGCTGACGGGGGTCAGTGTGGCCAGAGCTGGAGGACAGGGCCCCGTGAGGCCACAGAGGCTGGCAGGAGGGACGGCAGGCCCCGCGACAGGTCTGGGTTTGTGCTGAAGGATCTGGGAGCCGCCGGCGGGTCTCCAGTGTGGGATTTGGATTCTAAATCTCGGCTGTTCGGGCTGGAGGTGGAGAGCTCTGGACTCAAGGTGGTGGCCAGGGCCAGACCTGCCTCGGGTGCCATGAGCTGATGGCCACCAGGTGGCGGCAGAGCAGCCACGAGCTCCGGGGGCTGAAGATGGGGTCTGGCCCAGGGCGCCCTGCACTGGGGCTGGGTGGAACTCAGTGGTGCAGAGCCCTTGAATGCCAGCTGTGGAGGATGAACATTATCCCTCCCACAGGCGGTAGGGAGCTATCGAAGGCTCTTGAGCAGGTGAGTGACCCCAGCAGGACACTGAAGATTGTGGCCATTTGTTTCCTCAGCGCCAGACCATTGAGCTGGTTCCCCTCACGGAAGTCCATTGCTGGTACCGGGGAGAGACCTACGTCTACTACATCTGTGGCACCGACCACCAGGTGGACGTGGGCGACTTCCCTCGGCGGCACTGCTGCGGCTGCACCATCCTCTGACGTCCCTCAGCGGGCCGAGGCGGGGGGACGCTGGGCTCCGGCGGGCGGTCCCGTGCAGCCCCCGGGTGTGTTTCCACGCAGTCCCGCCGGCCGACTGTACAGCACAGCCTTGCACGGAGACTCCCGGGCCGTCGGCAGCACACGCTCATCTTTGCGAGACGAGTCGAATCGGAGCCCAAGCCGATGCCGCCGTGGGGCCTGTGTCTTGAGCTCGCTTCCCTTGCCCACGCTGGGGTTGTCGGTGCTTCTCCTTGCGTGAGCTGAGCTGGGCATTCCTGCCAGGGTTAAAGACGCCCCATTTCACTGCCCCTGCTGCCCTGCACACCCAAGATGTGCGCTTGTTCTCCCTGTCCCGTGGGTGTGGAGTTCAGCCGCAGCTGGGATTGGTGAGTCCCGTTTGGTGAGGTTCGGGCCTCACCTGGGAGTCTCAGAGCCTGGGGTGGGGGAGGGCTCCAGACTCGGGGCTGAAGACCCCTGAAGGTGGTGGCCCCCGTAGCTGCGGGCTGAGGGTTGGGCGGTGTTGTTGCACTCGGATTGCGTGCCCCCATTTCTGGGCCTGAGTGGAGAGCTCAGTACCATGCTGGAGTGACCACGCACCTGCTTGCCAGTCCCTAGACCTGGTGCCTGCCCGTGGGAGGGGTCTGAGACAGGGAGGCTGGACAGATGCAGTTCCGGACAGGCGTGCTAGGCTTTGAGCCCGCCCACTGAGCAAGGCGTGAGCCTATGTCCTGTGCAGGGGCTCCCAGTGGGGCGGATGAGTGACTGCCCGAGGCTGACCCTGGCGGCAATGGACGAGGCTACCCTCTCCAGGGTGTCTGCACTGTTGACCCTGTCCCAGGGAGGTGGACATAAGAAGGCTGGTGGGGGAGGGGTTTGGGGAGACTGAGGCTACCCCCCAGGGCCTGTTGACAAGAGACGTGGACACTGACCTGGCTCTGCCCCTGTAGGGGCTGCGTGGCCATGTTCTGTCTGATGTCGCCGCTTGGCTTGTTTGGCTGAACCCCACGTAGGCGGGTCTGGCTGGCAGCTGGTGGTCCCGGCAAGGGCTTGGGCCCGCACTCCCTGGGGACGGCTCGGAGGCAGGGGGTCTTGATGAAGACGCGAATGGATGAGCACCTAGGGCTCTGAGAAGCCTGAGCCTGGGGCACCTGCTGCGCTCAGATGTCAGCTCTGGCCCTGGCTGCCTCCAGCCAAGTGCACAGGCTGAACAAGGCAGAGGCCGGGGCGGGGCGAGACACAGCTTTGGGTCGGGGCTCACTGGGCCCAGACACTGGCTGGTTGCGGGGTCAGAGCCTGATGGAAGGATTCCCAGGGGAAGAGCCCACCTCCTCTCCCCCTGCAGCTCTGTCATGTTCGGGCCTGGGAGGCCCTGCACCTGCCCACGTGTCCCCACGGCCGCCTCCCTGGTCCCGAGTGCCCCTCTGCCCAGCGGGGCGTTGGGCCAAGGGAGGCGCCGTTTTGGGTTTTCACCATGGCCGGCAATGGCTGTTACTGTGCAGACCTAGCTGAAGCCACTGGGGCAAAGCCCAGGGATCCCTTGACCCCAACACTGGCCGCCAGGGCCTGTGGCGGCGGGCCGGCTTCAGTGCAGGTTCTCAGAAGGTGGTGCTGACGTGCAGGCCTGGGGACAACACCAGCCCTGCTGTCTGCCGGCTGCTGTGTTCCCTGGGCCTGTGCGGGGGGCGGCCAGCCCCATGCTGGGAGCTGAGGGCTGTGCAGAGACCTGTAGCCCGCCCTGAGGTTCCTGGCAGTGTGGGAGGCCGGGCACGCAGGAGTGGGAGACGCAGGTGGGCGAGAGTCAGGCTCTGTAGGAGGAGGTGATGGCTGTCAGTGGCCGGAAGTCACTTTTGGCAGAAATTCTGGGGTAGCTCTTGTGCCTCCGTGAGGTCTACCAGCCATGGGTGCAGGTGCATCTGGGTCTGGAAAGATGTCCCTCAACCCAGCCCCCGGCCCCCTGCCCTTTTTCTCTGAGCTGTGCTCCCTCTGGATGTGGTCCCTGGGCAGGCTCCCTCTCCGCTGCCCGCTGCCCACGGTGGCCAGCCACCAGGAGCTCGTGGATTCCCTCGCCCCAGCAGAGAGAAGGCTGCATGCTCATTTCCCAGCGGCACCCGCAGCAGCCCTGGGGAAGGCGCTCAGCGGCTTGGCCTGGGGCCCATGAGCAGCCTGGAACCAGTCGCTGGCCAGGAGATGCAGTGGCTCAATTGGTTGGCCAGGACCACAACCCTGCCCCCCCCAGCTCAGGGCAGCCTTGGGCAACTCAGACAGGGCTGGGAACTGGGCAGGCTGTCCACATGAGGGGCGGACAGAATGCGCTTGGTATGTGCAGATGGTGTTCTGGAATTTTCTGCATGCATTGTCCCAAATGATGTCTTACATGCATGAGGAGAGATTGGCCTGGGTCTTCTCTCTGGGCTTTCCCGGGTGGGTGGGAAGTGTATGGCTGCTGTGCCTCTGCCCATTGGTTGTTAGGAACAGGAATGGGGACTGACCTGGGCCTCCTGCCTGCAGGTCTGATATGTGCTCCTGGAGTGTGTGTGTGAGGTGTGCACATGCGTGTGCACACATAGAATGTGGGCGTGCATGTGTGTGTACATGGGTGTGTGCACATGGGGTGCATGTGGGTGTACACATGTGTGCACAGTGTGTGTATACATGGGATGTATGAGAGTGTGCGTATGTGCACAGGGTGTGTGGGGGTGTGCACACAGAATGTGTGTGATTGTGCACATGTGTGTAATGATGTGTGTGCATATGGGATGTGTGCGCATGTATGTACACGGGTATACATGTGTGTACACATGGGATGTGTGTGGCATGTGTTGGTGTGTGGGGTATGTGTGTGGTGTATGTGTACTGGGTGTGTGAGGGTACATGGGGACTGTGGTGCAGGTATGGGGTGTTTGTCTATGTGTGCACATGGGGGATGTGGTGGATGACTGGGAGTGTGTATTCTTGCTGTGTGTGTGCACATGGGATGCATGTGTGTATGTGGGGTGTGTGGTACACTGGAGCTGTGTGTGTGCATAGTGTGCATATACGCATGTGGGGGATGCGTGGGTCTGTGTGGCACATGGTGTATGCACGGGGCACACGTGTGTACATGTGTTTTCCAGGCGGGAAGAGTGGCTGCCCAGGTAGCGGGGGGGGACTTCCTTCCCCCAGGTGCCCGCCCCTCCCTGCAGGTCCCTGTCCTCTGTCCTTCCCAGCGCCCCGGCCCTCACTGTGTGCGGGGTTTGCTGCGGCATGGCCGACTGGGGCCCTGCCCCTAGCAGCTGTGTGACGTTGGCCTCGGTTTCCACATCTGGGAAATGGGGTGCCGCCAGCGTGGGTAGGAAAGATGACGAGAACAGGCACTCAGAGCTGAGTCTCCGGGGGGCTCACCCCCTGGCCAGGCCCGTTTCCTCCCAGGTCCAGCTCCGGGGTGGTCAGGACTGGACGGCTTGACACAGGGCCTCGCCTGGTGGCGGGCCTTGTGTGGCAGGACCTGCGTCTCCGAGCCTGCACTGCTGAGTACGGCCAGGCGGCTGCAGGACGGGGCTGGTGTTGACTGCATGGAGGGAGCTTGGATCTGAGCTGTAGCCCAGCCCCACCAGCCGCGCGATCTGGGCGACTCGGTTCCCCTCCACAGTCTCAGGTTTCTTTGCTTGGCTTCTCCATCACATCTCGCTCGGGACCCAGAGACCTGACATCAGCCAGCAGAGGGCGGCCAGAGCTGAGTCGCCCTGGGTCCTCGCCCTCACGGCGGTGCCCTGTGGGTCCTGGAGCCGGGGGCTGCAGCTGGAGGGTCCCTCCTCCTCCTCCCGGAAGGCAGCCCGTGGTCTGGCCTGGTGCTCTGCTTCTGTCTTGCTCGGGGTGACCAGTGCCTAGAGCTGACACATGGACTGCTGAGGGGTCCTTTGGGGGCGGAGCTCTCTGCTCTTCATGGGGAGCAGAGGGGCCCTGGGCGTCCGCAGCGGGGCTCCCTTCCTCTGTCCTGGCGCAGTCTGCAGGAGGGCAGGGCTGCTTGTTTAGTGTCTCCAGGCCTAGGGTGATTCTCTCCTTTTCTCATCAGCTAATGGAGCTGAAATTCCCAGCTGAAAGCCAGGGTGTGGTTTGGAAATTCAGGTGTGTACATGTTTGTGTGCACACACGTGTACCTGTGCATATACGTGTGTGTGCACATGTATGTGTGTGTACATCTTTTAGGCCAATATGCATCACTGTTCTCTGACTGCTAACGAGTGCCATGATCAGAGAGAAAGACAGGGATCTCGGGGGCCGGCACACAGGAGGGCCACGCCGGTGCCTGCGGCACAGCCTCTGTGTGTGGCCTGAGTGTTCCCAGCCTGGGTTTCATGTCCAGCCCTGACTGCCCCCGTGTGGTCTCCAACACTACTGCTGGCCTCTCTGTGCCCGGAGGTCCCCAGGACCCTGAGGGCTGTGGTGAGGACTCGGGGTGGGGCATGGGGGGTGTGCCTGCCATGTAGCTGAGAGATGTTCACACCAGGGTCACAGGGGAAGGCAGGGCTGGGTCCCAGCCAAGTCCGAGGTCGCGGGACACAGGCAGAGCTTCCAGACCAGTCCCTGAGCCGGGGCTGGCTGCACCAGCCTCTCCTGCACATTCCGTATCACCCTTGGAATTTTGGAGTCACCATGGCTGAGCTGCCGTAGCTTCAGCCGTTGTCCTCAGAGCGTTCTTACTCTCAGAGATAGAAGGAAACTGGTGCTTGGAGTTAAGATATTTGGGTTCCTACATCAGGCCCCTCAGCCTTCAGTTTTGGTTCTGAGCTCACGTCGGGCGTCTGCTTGTTGAAACTCAGTCCCTTCTGGGAGATCATCTGTAGCTGCCCCACGGGTCATTTCAGGGCTCACACGAGACCCTGACTGGGGAAGCATCTCACAAAAATACTGCACAGATGTTTTTCAAAGCTCTACCTAGTGTTTTTTACCTGCTTGGAGTGGGAAAGACAATTTGATGGTTCCAAAGCCTCCTGCTGCCTCGGACACTGTCCACCAGGGGGCAGCAGGTGCACACACACACCACCCCCTCGCTGTAGCAGCAGGGGCGCCTGTGCCTGACAGCTCAGTGCCACCTCTAAGCTCTCCTTTCTCCTCCTCAGCAGGCCGGTGGCTCCAGAAACGGAGTTAGAATGTCTTCTGTTACTTGTAGGCTGCACCTCTGGTGTGTACCCTCCCCAGGGAAGACACTGGAGCACCTTAGCAACGTTTAGGGTCAGGCTGGGGATGCCTGCTGGGAGTTCGCAGCCCGGGTTCACACGCTGGCTCTGGTATCTTCTCTCATTCTTCCAGCAGACCCTTCCCTGTGCTGGCCCTGGGGAGGCCTCTGGGTCAGGTGCCGGTCCTGCCTTGTGGACTCCTGGCTTTGAAACACATGTGCCCCCTTCCGATCCCTCCCCAGGGAGAGGGGCTGCCCTCAGTCCTTGTGTGTGTCCCTGATGGGTCCTGTGAGCTACCTGTGAGGACTCCCCTCACTTGGCCGCGGAGGGGACTGACGCCGGGAGAACGTACGGGAAGCTGCCCTGCAGGGCGGAGCAGGGATCTGGGCCTGGGCCATCCGGCTCCGGTGCCCGCACGCTCCGGAGTAGCAGGGGAGGCAGACGAGAGGTTGACTTGCGACCTGGGCCTCAGTCCCTTCGGGTTCCAAGTGCATTGGTGAGCCCTGGACCCTGGGGGTGGGGGGTTCCTCCGAAGCAGGGGAGAGGACGCCCCTGGGGCAGCTCTCAACAAACAGGGGAGTGAGACAGGATGGACGCCAGCCTCCTGGGGCTGCGCTCTGGGGGCCCACAGCGGGGTGCTGTCAGCTTCCAAATCCCCCCTCCCACCTGCTCAGCCTCTGCTTTGGGAGGGGCTGCCCGTGATGGTGCAGCCCCCAGGACTCCACTCCCTCTGAGGAACAGAGGTCGGAGTCCCCCGCACAGCTGTAGCCCCAGCCCCAGACTCGGGGAGGAGGGTGAATCGAGCAGGTTCAGAGGCTGCACGAACTGGGGTGGGGGGCGGTGTTGTGCCTCGGGGCGACAGTGAGGACCTGGCAGAGACGGGGTTCCGGCTGCCATGACTTCCACCTCTCGGGATTGCTCCTTGGCGCTCCCTTGCACGTGGGGAGCAAGGGATGGCTTCCATCTGACTTCTCTGTGTCAGCCTCCGAGAGCCTCAGTTTCCACGCCTGTAAGATGGGAGTGGGGAACTTGGCTCAGAAGGTGTTCTTGGTCCCAGGCGCCACAGGCTTTGTCCCTCGGGGGCTTCGCTAGGAAACCACCATGTGGAGGCCTCGGCCCTGCCCCTGGCCTGGGCTGCATCCGCCCCGGGCCCTCCTCCTGGCCTGGGCTGCGTCCGCCCCGGGCCCTGCCCCTGGCCTGGGCTGCGTCCACCCCGGGCCCGCCTCCTGGCCTGGGCTGCGTTCGCCCCGGGCCCTGCCCCTGGCCTGGGCTGCGTCCACCCCGGGCCCTGCCCCTGGCCTGGGCTGCGTCTGCCCTGGGCCCTGCCCCTGGCCTGGGCTGCGTCCGCCTCGGGCCCTGCCCCTGGCCTGGGCTGTGTCCGCCCTGGGCCCTGCCCCTGGCCTGGGCTGAGCTGCATCCATCCCGGGCCCTGCCCCTGGCCTGGGCTGAGCTGCATCCATCCCGGGCCCTGCCCCTGGCCTGGGCTGCGTCCGCCTCGGGCCCTGCCCCTGGCCTGGGCTGTGTCCGCCCTGGGCCCTGCCCCTGGCCTGGGCTGCATGCAGGGAGCACAGTCCTGGTGCTTTTGCTCTCCGGGCCCCTGTGCCAGGCCGCCCTGGGGATCAGAAGCTGTTCCACTCCTGCCTGGTTTGTGCCGATGCCCAGCAGAGACCTCACGTTCACAGCTCACGTCTCGTAACCTCCCTGCGCCCCAGGACGCCTCCCCCAGTGCTTACCCACCCAGGGCGTGTCGTGACCCCTCACAACTCCCCTCCCATGCTCCTGTGCCAGTCCTCAGGGGCGGGAGGCACAGCAGACACTGTGACGCCTCCCCCAGGAGCCAGGCCCTGTTCTGATGGTTTCCCAGCGGCTGGAACCCAAACATTCACAGTTCTCTTAGGCAGCAGGGGATAATGTCCCCATTCTATAGACAGGGAGACTGAGGCCCAGCCGGTGTAAATCCCTTGCTCAAAGTCATAGGACTGGGCTGGGCAGAGCCAGGCCACCTGGTTTTGAATCTTGGGTAGAAGGACGAAGTTCTGTTGTGGACCCCTGTGCTTGTGTGTGTGTGTGTGTGTGTGTGTGTGAGCCTGTGGCATTCTGTCTTCATATGTGCACCTGTACATGCATGCATGTGAGTGCACATGTGTGTGTGTGTGTGTGCCTGTGCGTGGGCAGAGCTGCACGCCTGTCTCTGGGCCATGGCTCTGGGGAGCTTCGAGCTGAGCAGCAGCCCGGAGGATGCGGGCTGTTCTTGGGTAGAAGTTGGGGACCCAGCTGCTGTGTTGCGGGGCTGGCTTGGCGTCCTTGCAGGGAGACAGGTCCCAGGTAACCTCTCTCGCCGTGGCTGCGCGTGGAGGCAGCTTCAGCCCGGGAGGCAGGCCCCGGCCCTGTTCCAGCTCCTCTTCACGTCGTCAGCCTGGGGCAGGGGAAGCTGGAGCCTGGCGTGAGCCTCTGTCCTGCCGCTCACGGATGGAACTGGGACCACTTAGAACATACATCATACAACACGTGACACGTGGGCACTTACCAGAGCTTATGGGAAAATGAAATGAAAAATAAGCTTATTTCAATATAAAAGATTTGAAACTTATGCACATTTTTCATAATCCGCCTTTACTGTGTGCTTTTTGAAGACCCCTTGTATATGATAAATCAGAAAACACCCCCTACCTTTCAATAAATCTGAGCGCTGCCTCTTCCTGGTCCTGACACATGGGCTCAGCTGTCGCTACCTCGGTCTGCTCATCTGCAGAATGGGGGGGCTGCCAGCAGCTGCCCTGCTGAGACCGGCAGTGAGGATGAGGGAGGTACGGGACGTGTGGGTTCGGAACAGGACCCGTGCACAGGACGCCCATGGTGGCTGAGCTTGCTCTGAACCTGGGGCCGCACGGAGCTGTCCTCAGCCCTGTCCCTGTCCTCGGCCCTGTCCCTGTCCTCGTGCAGTATCGTCTGAGGCGAGGCAGTGCCTGGCTCAGGAGTTACCACGCTGACACAGAGGGTGGGACAGCCCCGTGCACACCACCTGGCTGAGGTAGCGGGAGCTGGTTCCCTCAGACAGGGCCCTTTGCAGAGAGAGGGTGGGAATCCAGGCAGCAAAATGACCAATGGCCAGGGCCAGGGCAGGAGGCTGGCCATCCTCCAGCCAACCTCACTGGACCCGTGCAGCGTCAACGTGGCAAAGAAGCCAGGGTGGGAGTGTCCCATTGAGGATGCCGGGGCCCAGCACTGGTTCTCTGTCTACACTGGCTTGATTTGGTCTGAAGCTATCAAGGCCATCAACGGCCAGCCCGCCTCGTGGGGGTAGCCTGTGGAGGAAGACGAGATGCTGATGGATTTTGAGGGCCACGCGGTACTTCCTGCAGGGTGTGGGCTGCAGACTCTTCACTGGAGAGTGAGAAGGGGACCGGTGGACAGCGGGGGCCCCAGGCAGGCACTTAGGCTGAGCGTGCGGGGGTCCGCTCTGCACGTCCCATCGTGCAAGGCTGACTGTCCCCCGTGAGTGTCTGCTGAGTGTCTTCTCCCTCCTGCTTGGCTCCGAGTCTTGTCAAGGAGAGCCTCGCTCAGTGGCGTCTTTGACAGCCACTGAGCCTCTGTAGCTGTGGCCTGGGGCATGCACCTGCACACACAGCCCGCAGGGTGGGAAGGGATGGAACTGACAGATGCATGTTGACCATTCTTGGCAGCGCTCCCCAAGCAGGGTTTGGTAGCTACCACTGATTTGGGGTGTGTGATGCACATGATAGAAATTTGCAGAGATGAGAGTGTGCTCACCATCCAGCCCCTGGGGAGGGCGCTGGGCAGTTGGGAAGGAACAGGGAGCCCTTGGAACGGAGGATGGGCAGCCATCTAAATTGTTGTGCCCCACTGAGCAGGGGCAAGTTCAAAGTCAGGTTGGGCTGAGTGGATTTAGCCCAGCGGGAGGGAGGGCAGGTGAGGGGGACGTAAGACTCCCAACGGATGTGATGATTTGCTTTCTGCAGAAGTTTTTCCAAAACGGTTTGTCCTGCCAGCCCCTGAGGAGGCTGTGGGTCTTGGGAGCTTTGTCTGGAATGGAGTCGGATGGGGCCCCTCTTCAAGGCTGTGGCTCCAGTCTCAGGTCTGGCCACACCGAGGGCCCTCTTCTACTGGTCTCAAAGGTGAGCCTGCTCTTTGTGCAAGTCTCTGGCTTCAGGGATAGGATGTGTCTGTTTTCTGCTTTCTAGATGTTTCTCCCCTTTGGGTCCAATTCCACCACTTCCTGGAAAGTGATGGGTTAACCCTGGGCTTGAGCCCAGAGAGCGCAGGTGGGCAGCGGCAGGTGTGTGATGTGTCAGAACCAAAGCCTGAACGCTGTGTCCACGTGGAGAGCAGCCTGCACCCGCCTCACGTGGAGGGAGGGGCCCATGGGGCAGGTCCCGGTCTGATGGTAGCTGGGTTCCTGCCGAGGAGAAGCAAGCGGGACATGGTCTTGAGAGGATTTCTGTGTGGGTTGTGATGGAAGGGTCGGCGGGCGCTGGGGTGGAGACCTGAGACCCGGTCTGTAGAGACCTGGTACAAGGTCGCAGGGAGAGTCGGGAGTGGATACACAGGCTCAGCGTCTGTCTCTGTGGGTTAGTGTTGGAGACGTTTTCTAGGGACATAACACACAACATACATTCTATAGCTCTACACGTACAGTATATGTTCCACACACACAAAATGTATGTTCCACTGCATCACACACACATGACATATGTTCTTTAGCATCACAATCATGACATGTTCTGCATCATATACAATGTGTTATATTGCATCACACACGTCTTCTACCGCATCATGCAAATGTATGTAGTGTTTCATCACACAGCACATGTTCTATTGCATCACACACAGACACACAGAGTGTATGTTCTGTTGTATCACACAGCACTTTCTGATGCATCACACACAGCCTCTGTTCTATCATATCATATATACAGTGTATGTTCTGTTGCATCATACATGACCTATGTTTTATAGCATCATATGCACAATGTATGTTCTATTATACACAGTGTATGTTCTATAGCATTATAGCATACCTTCATACACATATTCTGTTACACACAGACACACAGAATGTTCTCTTGTATCATTCATATATTCTGTTACATCACACACACCATATGTTATATATACAATGTTCTATCACATCATACACACATTATATATGTTATATTGCATCACATGCTACCTTTTTTCTATTGCATTGTATACACTGTATGTTGTATTACATTAAACACAATGTATGTTCTATAACATAGCATACCCACACACACACACACACACACACACGTTCTATAGCATCACACACACAGTGTATGTTCTCTTGCATTATCTATTTACTGGAGGGTGGACAGATCCCACCTCTCACCCTTTTAATTTTCGGCCTCCTCCTCCCACTTCCTGGTTCTGGAAGTGCATTTAGTAATGGGTGTTGTTGACTCCTAGGATGGCTGCTCCCCTGAGCCAGGCCCTCTCCTGTCAGTACCCGGCGGCCCCACCACTGGCCTGGGGCTGGGTTTAGCTCACTGTAACGCCTGCTGAACCAATGTGATTCAGGAACGGTATCTGCAGAGCTTGCTTTTGAGTTTACACAGGGTTACATGAACAGCCCGCATCTCATGTCTCCCTGAGTGTGGCTAGATTAGAGCTGCTGGATGTGGCCATTTTACAGACATGGAAGTTGAGGCTGGGTGGGATACATGGTGCCTTCCTGGTGAGTGGGAGAACCAGGCTGGATGCTCTGTTTATCTTACTCATGACTCTAAAGAGGTAAAACCCCTTAAAGAGGCAGTCTTGCCTGACTCTTCGGGATTCACAAACAGATGGAAGCAGTGGGGGTGGGGGCCAAGCACTCACCCACGAGGGCTCCTGATGCAGTTCTGTGGCTCCCTGCGGCTCTGCTTGGAAGCCACTGGAGTGCACCAAGCTGCCTGACTCCCTCACTGCTTACTCTCCTCCTCCCTAGCCCTTCTGGCCAGCTTCTGAGAGAGCCCTTGCTGTGGCTCAGGCTCCACGCCCACCCTCAGTGGCTGGCTGTTTGCTTCCAGTGAATTCCCCACGTTGACCTTTTATTCCTGTCTGAAGTTACTCAGCTTTCTGTGAAGGAATCCTGAGAGGTGTGAGGAGTGGATGCGCGCTGCTGGGTGCGGGATCCCCGTGGGGAGATTCTAGGCAGGGGAGTGTGGGGGAGAGATTTGAATGTCACGTAGACTACACTGGTGGCTTGGAGAGGGGGCCTGGTTCCTGGGGAGCAGGGGAGCCAGCAGGCAGGCAGGGTGGGTGAGCGGAATGGAAGTCCAGGAAGGGAACCTGAACTCTAAGCCAGGTCAAGCACTGAACCAACAGCAGAGAGGTGTGACTAAGATCTGGGACCCTAGTGATGGACCTGTTCAGATCCCGAATCTGTCGCTGATTCACTGTGTGACTCACGTGCTGGTCATGTCACCTCTCCTAGGCTGTTTTATCAGCTGTAATAAAAGACTGGATGACAGCATTTCCACTAGTGAGGGATTTGTCGAAATGACCCAGATGGTGGGTAAGCACAGTGCTTGGATCACCAGATACTTCAGTGAATACTAGTAGCTAACGATGGTGACACGGCTGATGATACTGTAGTGACGGGGTGCTGCTGATGGCAGTACAGTGACGGTGGTGGTGGGAGTGGTAGTGACGGTGAAGAGGAGGGTGGTGATGGTGAGGATGTGACGGTGAGGATGGTGACAGGATGGTGATGGCGGTGACAGTGAGGATGGTGATGGTGAGCATGGTGACAGTGAGCATGGTGATGGCGGTGACAGGATGGTGAGGATGGTGAGGATGGGTGATGGTGAGGATGGTGGTGGTGGTGGTGGTGATGACGGTGGCCATCATGGAGGTCATCATGGTGGCAATGATGGTGAGGGAAGCGGATGAAGGAAAAGCCAAGTGGTCGTTGGAGGCTAAGTAACTGAGGAATCCATTTTCAGGAAAGCACCCCCACAGAAACACGCTGGCCTCTGCATTTGGAGACGTGGAAGGTTGGACGTCTTCCTCCCCGTTGGTTAGGGTCGAGGTTGCCTTCTCTTTGCGCTCTGGCCTTTGCCTGTGTGCTGTGTCACGCTGAGTGGTGCTGTCGCAGCCTCCAGAAAGGTCCCTGCTCTGTGTCAGCTCTGTCTCTTCACTCACGCTCACTCCTCGTTTCTTTACACTGCCTTCCGCTTGTCCGTGAGCGACCAGCCTCATGCCGGCTTCAGTGGGACGACGGTCGCTGGATTTTAGCTACCTGTTGGCTCTGGCAAAAACTCCAAGCCTGAGGCCGGCTCCCCTTCTGCTACTCAGGGGGATTATCCAGCACGGCAAAGGTGTGCACACACCCCGGCACTCAACCGCGACCTCCTCGAAGCAACCAGCCGGATGTAGAGACCTGGTGCTGCAACGAGGTCAGGTTCTCTGTGAGTCAGCGCTGATGACCGCCGGGCATGCCGGCCATGCTAAGCCGTGTCCTCAGCGGCCAGGCTGGCTCATCAGAGGCCCCTGCCTGCATTCCTTAGGTCCTGTGTGCGCTGACCCTGACAGGTGCACACAGGTAAAAATTAGCTCCTAACTAAT